CAACTAGAGGCAGCTTCATCTTCACTTTATATCTATTTTGTATATCCTTACATTGTCTCTGGCTTGTCTCTGGGGAGCTAACTTGTGCAAGTGGATAGAGCGCCAGACCTAGAGTTAGGAAGACACATCTTCTTGAGTTCAAATCCAGCCTCAGATACTTCTTAGCTGTGTGACCCCGGGAAAGTCACTTAACTTTGCTTTAGTTTCCTTATCTGTAAAAAGAGCTGGAGAAAGAAATGGAAAACCACTCCAGTATCTTTGCCAAGAAGACCCCAAATGAGGTCACAAAGAGTTGGATATGACTGAAAACAACTGAACAACACCAACAATGACAAAAATACATTACCTCCCTTGATAGAATATAAGCTCTTTGGGAGCAGGAGCTTTTCGCTTTTGTCTTTGTACCTCCAGTGACTGGCACAGTATCTGGCATACTTAATAAATGGCACTTAATAAATGCAAGTTGATTGCTTGAAAATGGCATATTGCCTAAGGTCACTTGTAGCTTTTTAGACCTACAATAAGGACTATAAGGATCTAATGTTCTAGAACAAACCTTGCCTCAGTTTAATACTCCGTGAGGTGAAAGGATTAATCTCCAAGGTCCCTTTAAATTAGTGCTTTTTGAATCCGTGATTCTCCCCTTAAGGTTGTGTCTACAAAGGAACATCAAATCTTTGATCGAGAGTTGCTAGTCTGACTCCATTTTACAGATGAGGAAACTGAGGGCCAGGAAGGCTAAGGGAAATTCTTGAAATCATAGGGATTTGAACCCAGGTCCTCCAATTCTAGAGGTAGTAAGTCCCCTTTTCACCCTACCACCCTGCCTTTCATTTAATTTGGGGTACTACTTAAAATATGAGCAAAAAGTCCTCCTGAAGGGTGACAAAAGGGATGGAATGGGTACTGAGCAACACTGCTCCCACTTTTCCTTTTATCCCGGCTCTGTAACCTAACCTGCCAAGTCTGATTAGGACCAAAGCCATCATGCTTCTTTGAACAGCACTGCAGCCTGTTTTAAGAAAGGTTATGATCTGCAACCATGGGGAAAGGTTGTCCTGCCATCCCAGGTGCCACCCAAGGGAAAAACCTGGAGCCTTAACCAGGGCTTTCAGGCTGGGGTGAGAGAAGGGAAAGAAAGAGATAGGGTAGAGAAAGAGAGGGAGCTAGTCCTTGTTAATGGGCTGGCCGGCTGGCCCATTCTCTGTGCTGCGCCTAATGGGCTGAGAGATTGTGTTGGGAAGTGAATTGAGACCACTGAGCCATTCTTACTGAGAAACTCACTGGAGGGCAAATTAGTTTTAGGAGAGTGTTTCTGAGCCAAATAAGGTTTTCAAGAGAAGTCTGATTCCTTGACGATTCAAGCTGGTTGGCACCTTAGAGAACATATAATCCAACTCCTTCATTTTACAGTTGAGAGAGCTGAGGCCCAGAAAGGTTAAATAATTAACTAAAGAACACATAGTTTCCTAGTGGCAGAGCCAGGGTGACAACTTGGCTCTCCCAGTTTCTAGTTCAGTCTTCTAAATACTCCTAACTTTGTAATAGTGAGCCCACGTCTCTTCAAGTTGTCCTCTATTGCTTCTCCTTCATTTAGAAGGGATCAGTGACCAACGGGTGATGTCTTGACGTGTGGGTGAGTTGGATTTAAGTGAGGCAGAGTTGCACAAAGTCTTCAGCCTCAATCTCTCTTCCACAGTCATAAAAGTTCAGTGGCAAGACAAAAGTCAGGAGATTGGCAATAGCCTGGGATTCAGTGGATCAACTCAGCATCTTCAATGTCTGACCAAGCTCTAAGTGCTCCACAGCACCTGCTTCAGCTGCCTTCATGGCCTTTGGAATAAATCATTGTCATCTGTACACTCCACCAAGGGAAGTCTTCGCATGCTTGGGGTAGATATCTCCCTAACTCACTGACAGGTTTGAAGTCTGTCGGTTACCCTCTACCTGATTTAGCCCATCTGCCAAGACAGTTTTACCAGGATGAGGCCACTGCGCATGCTACAGTTTCTTGGAGCCACAGGTGAGAGTTGGGTGGCAGGTGAACACCAAAGGTGGGTAAGCAGCCTTGAAAAGGGCTTGGCAAGGCCTCACACCAGAGGTGCTAGTCCTCCCTTAACATTTCATACACCCCTGATGTTGTCCAAAAGGGTATTGACTAGCCGTGTGACCTTGGGCAAATCACATAACCTCTATTTGTCTCAGTTTTCTCATCTATAAAATAGGAATCACAATAGCACCTACTTCCCAGGATTGTAAGGGTCCAATGAGATTGCATATATAAAGCATTTTGCAAAATCACTACATAAATACTAACCATTGTGAGAAATATAGGATGGATCAGACTCATGACTGTATTTCACTTTATTAAAATGTTTTACTGTTTCTTTTTGTTTTTATTACACTACTGTGACTTACCATTTATCTTCCACACATATTCACCAGGTAAAGAATCCTTCTTCATATTAAGTACAGTTGAACAACACAGGCACATTGACCATATCTGACTGTGCCTCATTCCATACCCAAAGCCTACTGCCTTTCAGTCAAAAGGAAGGAGGCATGCCTCATCACTGGTCCTCCAGAGTCAAGTTTAATCCTTGATCTCAATTCTGATATATGTTTGTGGTGTTTCCCTTTATACTATTATGAGCACTGTGCTTTTATTCTCTTGATTTTACTTATTTTGTTTTACTTATTTGTTTACTTATTTTGTTCTGCTACAGTTGTTCCCAACTTTCTCTGAATTTCTCATATTAGTCATTTCTTAGGGCACAATAATATTCCATTGTATTCATATATTATGATTGATTCAGTCATTCCTCAATCAGTTGGCAACCACTTTGTTTCCAGGTGTGTGTGGGTGTGTGTGTATGTGTATCTACATTTTTTTGCTACCACAAAACAGCATGACTATGTAAATATACATATATATATATGTATATATATATGAACCCAAAATAGAGTCCATATATAATGTATGTATGTGTATATACATATATCCTTTATATGTGTACATATACACACATGTATATGTAAACCCAACATATGTTTGATATATACATATATAGTACAAATATACATAAACATATATGTATATTTTCCTTGATGTGTGTCTATATGTATATATACATATGTGTATATAAATCCAATATATATTCTGTATATACAAATACATGTGTATTGACATATTTGTATAAATATATAATATAGAAATATAAATGTAAATATATACATACAAGTATATACATATACATACATGTGTGTATATATGTGTGTGTATATATATATATATATATATACAAATGTATACATATATGTATACACACATATTTTTCCTTTCCTTCTCTCTTTGACTTTTTTGGGGGTATGTGCCCAATAGTGGAACTACTGGGTCAAAGGATATGAGCTCTTCAGTCACTTTTCTACTATGACTTCGAATTGTTTTCCTTAATGATTGGTCAATTAATGGTTCTACCTACAGTGTAGTAGCGTACCTATCTTGCCATAGACCCTCTAACATTGACTGTTTTCATCTTTTACCATCTTGGCCAATTGGCTACAAGTCTACTCATTTTACAAATAAGAAAACTGAGGTCCAGAGAAGGTACTTGATTCTCCCAAAGCCATAGAGGTAGGAGGTAGCAGATTTGGGACTTGAGCCCAAGCCCTCTGAAGCCATGTCTAATTTCCATTCTCCTATGCTATATTGCCAAGTGCTTGACTGAAATTAAGTCATACTACCTCCATGGCATTTTCCTCTCAGTCCAGTAACCCTATCGAGAGAGACAGAGAGAGAGAGACAGAGAGACAGAGAGAGAGAGAGAGAAAGTCTTTCTAGGGGAAGCAAATACTTCCAATCAATGCAATTATACTCTCAAGGAAACAACCATTTTGACAAGTGACCTCTGTAGAATTTGTCCATTTAGCCCTACTATCCTGGAACTATCTGTCCTCTCTCTGACATGAGGAAGTCCAGCAGACCTGTGTAAAAATGCTCATGGAGAAGAGGAGGGGTGGGAAGAGGCAATACTTTAAGTATTTTAGTGAGAGAAAGAAGGAAATAAGCATTTATTAAGTGTCTTTTATATTCCAGATATTCTGCTATAAGGGCTTTACAAACATTATTTCATTTAATCCTCACAATAACTCTGAGAGGTAAGTGCTATTATTATCTCCATTTCAGCTGTAAGTTGAAAAAACTGAGGTAGGCAGAGGTTAAGTGACTTGCCCAGGATCACACAGCTAATAAGTGCCTGAAGAAGAAAAATATTCTTCACTGTATACATAGGAGATATGATCTGATTTGTGTAATAGATGCTTTTAATGCCTATATATTGCTAGATTAAATTATTATCTGACCCACCTTACTTGGGACTTTGAGAGTTCTTCATTCATATTGACAGTGAATCACAAGTTTCAATTACGGTTAATGTGAAAAAACATTGAGAGTCAGGACAGCATAGAGGATAGAGGTCTGGCCTCTGAATCAAGAGAGGCTGTGGTTTCAAATTCTACATCTGAGACTTACTGACAGTGTGACCTTGGACAAGTGTCTTAAATTCAGTGCCCTCAAGAATATCTTTGAGACTTGAAGTGACAGAATGCTTAATGGTCTGAGACAGTAGAGGGAGTCACCTTACCAGAAGCTCTCTACAATGAAATAACAATTCTGGACTAAAAGTAAAGAAAAAAAATCTTAGTCATATTTGAGAGGGTCTCCATAGTCTAAATTTTAATATCACAAAGACTTAAAATTATAATGTCCGTCCTCCAGCTACTTCTTAATCCAGGAAAACCACTAAGTACTGAAATAAATATCCCAGAAAGAGAAGCCCCACGAGACACCAGTGAGAGAATTCCCAGGAGCTGGGTGGTATTAGCACACTAGCAGCTTGACTACATCAAGAAAAGCAATTCTTACAGAAAGGCCCCAGAAGGTCCACGTCACCAACCCCAGCCTCAGATAACGAGGCCAGCTGGGATGGGCCAAGGCCTACCTGACTCCATCCTCCTGTCCTCATAATCTGGGCCGTTCTCAGGAGCCCCAGGGGACTGTGGGAGAGGCTGGCTGCTGAAGAGGTTGTCACACAGCAGGCTCTGACACAGCTTCCTCAGGAAGCTTAAGACACAGCCAAGGCTGCTCACCACCGGCAGGCTCAGGAGATGCTGTTTCCCATCAAAAGAAGCTGAGACTGAAAAACCACAGGAGACAGCAGTTCAGAGCAGTGTGCATGGAAGGAGAGCTTGGGCCAAGCAGCTTGGGGGCCAAGGAATCAAATCAAAGTGAAATAAAATAAAATGAATATAAAATTAGAAAGGAAATAAAATAAAATTGAAATGAAATAAAATTTAATTTAATTAATCAAAATTAAATTAAAGTACAATCAAATAGAGTAAAATAAAAATGAAATGAAATTTAATCAATTAAAAAATGAAATAAATTAAAGCAAAATTAAATAAAATAATGAAATGAAAAAAATTAATTTAATTAAAATTAAACAAAGTAAATTTAAATAAAAATTAAATTAAAACAAAACAAAGTAAAATAAAATAAAATGAAAATAAAATTTTAGGGACAGCTAGGTGGCTCAGTGGATAGAGTACTGGCCTTGGAGTCAGGAGGACCTGAATTCAAATCCAGCCTCAAACACTTGACACTTACTAGCTGTGTGACCCTGGGCAAGTCACTTAAACCTATTATCTAGGCCAAAAAAAATTTTTTAATGAAATAAAATTAAAATTAATTAAAATTAAAATGAACTGAAATAAAAGAAAAGAAAACCCCCAACCCTCCTCAGTGCTGCTGTTTTGTGCTTGGTTTGGCTTTAAAAGGAGAGAAACATTGGTGCTTGAGGGCCCGTCCTTCCATTCCCTTGGAAAACCACTGGCAGGAGCCTTTCAATATTTTCCCTTTTCACCTTTCTTTTCCTTGGTTCTCTGTTATTCTGATAGATGAGCTTTCTCCTTATCTTGTACAGAACAAAGCCTCCATACCCCTTCCTGGACATCTCCTCACCATGCCGCCAACACTCTGGCCACAAACTCCTACAGTGACCCTAGACTCTTTCTCTTTTGTTCTTCCAGGTGAACTTTCTACCACCCATGCCACCAAACCTGTGTAAATACTCTCTCACCTTTCCAGTTCTTTTTTATTTGTTGTCTACACCCATTAGAACGTAAACTCCTTGAGGCAAAGTCTGTCTTGTTTGCTTATATCTATATCCCCAGTGTTTGGCACAATGCCTGGCACATAAGTACTTAAATGCTTACTTGTTCATCCACTCATTCTCTCTGTCTTTGTAAGTCTAGCCATCTATCCATGACTGGTAGTAATGGAAAGGCCAAAGAATTTGTATCAAGAGCACCTAGGTTTGAATCCCAACTCTACACCTATAACCTTTGTTACTTGAATGAACTTGGACGTGTCCCTCAATCTCTCTGAAAAAACAAGCCAATCTCCCTTGAGAGAGCTGGTGGGGAATAGGATTGTCTATATCTGGCCAAGTTGCATCGGAACCTATCAGACTTGATGACTTCTAAGGTTCTTTCCAGTTTTAAATTTATGATCTTATGATTTGCAGTTGGGATCGGAAAACTTCCTCATCTGCTCTCTTCCATGGAGGCAGTGTAGTTTAGTGGAAAGAGGGCTGAATTTGGAGTAAGGGGCTCTTGATTCAAATCACTATTCCAAGCTTGTTGCCTGTGTGATCTTATTGAAGTCATCAACAGGCCTAGAAGTCCACTGCAGTCACTATTCCATTCTGAAGTCTTTCTGTGCCTGCTGAGAAATCTTCCCCCAAGCCCCAGAGAACCAGGGAAGGGAGCCTGAAGTTGGCTGGTTGGTGCACTGAGGTCCTTAAGGAATGAGAAGTAAGGCCAGGGGTGAGTCAGTGGGACCTCATTCAATTTTGGAACTCAGAGTACATTATAAGAACTTGAGGGTGACCTTGAACCCTGAATAGTAAGTTACTACCGTAGTAACCTTGGGAAAAGCAGTGTAGTACACTGGAAAGAGTGTGGGATTTTGAGTCAAAGGATATGGTTTCAAATCATGAATGGCTCTGCTGCTTAGTACAGCTAGGTGACATTGTAGAGAGAGTACTGGTCTTGTGAAAGAAATGATTATTTCTCTCTTGCATTAATAACTAATTATTGAATCAGTACCCAGATTTTACCCCTTTTCTACTTCCTCATCCGGAAATCAATCAGTGTGGGAAATCTTTCTCAGAGACTTACCCAGGCCTAGATCTAATCAGACAGGACAAGAAATTCTAAAATGCAAGTTACATATCCCAAGACCTTCACTGTAATATAGCCTAGCCTCTCATTGTAATATTCATTCTCATTGACTTGTTAGCCAATCAGAGTTTATTGCCACCCTCAGGAACATCTACTCTTTGAAGCGCATATAAACTGTGAGTCCACCACCATGAGGGGTCTTTGTTTTAAGAGAGATGACCATCCTTTTAATAATAAACATTACAGCCTTAGCAATAAAATGATTAAATTACCCAGAAACTGTATCTCTCAAACTTTATAAATGTCACACTTGGAATCAGGAATACTTAAATATGAACCCTGCCCCAGACACTTACTCGCTGTGTGACCCTGGGCAAGTCACTTAACCTTTATTGGCCTCATTTTCCTCATCTGTAAAATGGGGATAATAATAGCACCTACCTCACAGGATTGTTGTAAGGGTCCAATGACATAGCATATGTAAGGCACTTTGCAAACCTGAAAGTGTTATATAAATGCTAGTTACTACTACTACTACTACTACTGCTACTACTACTACTACTACTACTACTACTACTACTACAACTACAGCTACTACTACTACTACTACTACTACTACTACTACTACTATCACCACCACTATAACCACCACCACTACTACTACCAGTATCACTACTGGTACTGCTCCCACCGCTACCAACTTGTGACTTTGGGCAAATCACACTCTGTACCTCCATTTTTTCATCAGTAAAATGAAGGGGTTCAGCTAGATGATCTCTGTGGGCCTTATCACTGTAAATGCATGATCCTATATGACCTTTTCGAAGGGGTAATCATCCAGTCTGCTCATGGGACCTTATTATTCCCATTCATATGAACACACGTGTATTTACTACTTTGAGAAAAGGAGAGAATATGAGAAGTCAACTCATCCTCCATGGGATGTGGCCTCAGTGTTTTATGCTTTTTCTCAGGATCCAGCAATTGTGATGCTTCCATTCTGTCTAGCAGCTCATTTAATTAAGCAGATTGGAACATGGACCAGGATGTTCATGGAGGGGCAAAAGGAGAGGTTAGGAAGCTCATTTCACCTCTCAGAAAAGAACATGGAATTAGGGAGGCCAGTAAAACTATGCCTCCAGCAGACAATATGGTCTAGTGAACTAACTCCCAGATTCCTGAGAGTCCTGAGTCCATGGACATCCTGTTTGAGTGACCTTCAAGTAAGTTATTTTGTCTTATATCTCATCTGTAAGCATGATATAACTACTTGCCATCTCATCTAACATGTAGTGGCAGTATATGATTTAAAATGCTAAGAAATTTCAAGACCAAAATGTTCAGTTGAAACATATTTCCCTCATGGAAGGGAAGCTTGGCCTCTTTTGTGCCAGACACTAAATATACTTCCCATAAATCTGATCTCCTTGAGGTCACAAAATGATTTTGGAATATGGGTAACAAAAAAAGAAAATAGGGTCAGTGATGTTGGTTCTACAGTCCCTCAGCACAGTGTTCAGCTGAAATTTAGTCTGCATTGGCTTTATTTAAGGGTACAGTAGAAAGGAATATTGGCTCTAAAGTCTGAGGATCTATTTTCAAATAATATCTCTGATACTTACTACCTGGGTGACCTTAGGCAAATCACTTAACTCCATGGGCCTCGGTTTCTCACCTGTAAAATGAGAGGGTTGGACTAGATGACTCCGAGGTCCTTTCCAGTTCTACACCTATGATTCTATGAAGCCTACTGTGAGACTGTGTCTGGGTCACTGCCATTTAGAAAAGAAAACATGAAGGCTTCTGCGCCTCAGGGATAAAGCACTCAGGGCATTGGGTGAGGGCCTAACCTCTGTGTTCAATACCTACTAATCACTCTTGCAAGAGATACTTTTTATGTAATGAATGAAAGCAGATGTTCTCTGTCCTAAATTTCCATTTTCCTCTTCCTCTAATCTCTGGTCACACCCTTCATAATCATCTCTTTTAAACATAATGTCCTTATTTCAGAAAAACCTGGAAAGAGTTCCATGAACTGATGCTGAATGAAGTGAGCAGAACCAGGAGAACATTGTACACAGTAACAGCAACATTGTGTGATGATCGACTTTGATGGACTTAACTCTTCTCAGCAATACAATGATCTTAGACAATTCCAAAGGATTCATGAAAGAAAATGCTAGGAAAAAACTATGGAGTCTGAATGCAGATTGAAGCATACTATTTTCACTTTTTTGTTTTTTGTTTTTTTTCTTTCTTGTGGTTTTTCCCTTTTGTTCTGATTCTTCTTTCACAACATGACTAATGTAGAGATATGTTTAGTATGATTGTACATGTATAATCTATAGCAGATTGCTTGCCGTCTTGGGGAAGGGGGAGGAGAAAGAAGGAGGGAAAAATTTGAAATTCAAAATCTTATAAAAATGAATGTTGAAAACTATCTTTACATGTAACTGGAAAAATACTATTAAGTGGAAAAAAATTAAATTAATAAATCTAAGTAAATAAATAAATAACGTCAGCAGAATGTTTACAGATTGGAATCATGGATGTGGACCCGTGCCGAAGTCTGAATTCAGCATTCATCAGCAAGCAGAGCCACCGTCCTGCCCAAACGAGACAAAATATTGTAGGAAATCATTGTTTTCCATAATTTTTGCCTCCCTAAAGAAAAACTATAACTGATCTAATCGATGCCTGTGATGGTGTTACATGTCCAGAGTCAATAAGATACAATTTAGTTCAATTCAATAGAGAATTGGCATTAGAATCCAAGGAACTGAGTTCAAATCCCATTGCTGATGCTGAATACCTATGTGATATTGAGCAAGTCACTAAACTTCTTGGGACCTCAGTCTCCTCATCTGTAAAATGAGGATTTTGTACCACATGGCCTCTGAGATGCCTTCTGACTCTAGAGTATGATCTTATGATCAGTTCAACTCAACAAGCATTTATTTGGCACCTACTACATTCCATGCCCCAAGCTGGGTGCTGATACACATCACAGTGATTGAGTCTGCAAATTAATTTCCCTCTGCAGACATGCAAGCACTTAAGGAGATGGATGTTACTGAATGTAACAGAAAAATTGAGAACACAGCGTAACCTTTGGAGGGATTGAATTTATGGAGGGAAGTCTACATCTGGGTTTCTTTCATAAGCTTTCATTCTAAGCCTGTAAAGGGAAGGAAGATGTAGAAATGCTAGAGAAAAAAATATTTCCACAAAGTACATTCAGTTCAAGGTCAACTGTATTAATGGCATAGGGGTTGGGGGATGTTGGGGATGAGTTTGTGTGGCAAGAATAGCACAAGAATAGTAAAAGAAACAGATAATCCAACAGTTAATATAATTCAATATATTTGGCTTGAAACCCTAGTCAAAGACAACAATTCAGTAAAAGAGATGAACATTCTCATTGGGTCAAGAGGCTCTTTCTTTCTTGCCCTGCTATTGGTCAGCCAGGAAGGAACAGATGGACAAGATGGGAGATGGGTGGTGAAGAGCAGACTTGGGTGGCAGAAAATAACCCAAAAAGGAGAGACCCTCATACACTTTCAGATGCAGAAGGAACCTCAGAGATGATAAAAATCAAATCAGATCATGCTTGTATAGCACTTTGCAAACCTGAAAGTGCTATGTAAATGATAGCAATGATTATTTATCCAATCCTCTCATTTTACAGCTGAGAAAATTGAGGCTCAGAGAATTTAAGTGGAAGAGGGCCAGAGCTGGGACTGGAATATGGACTTGCAAAGTCTCAGTTTAGAGTTCAGACAATCTCTGTATAGCTGAGAGGTAACCTTAGGCAACCAGTTGTCTTCAAGCTATGGGGCTTCCCTCCTATTTTGATGGCGGCAAGAATCACTCAGGATTTCAGAACCTTTGAACAGGCTCTGGTCCTAAACCATCACCCACTAAGCTCTGACCCCGATTTTCCAATTGAACCCTCTAGGGAAGTCCCCTATTTGTTAGCCTCCCAACACTCAATCATCTTCCAGAGCCTTACCAGACACCATCTCACCACCATATCCCTGCTTGACCAGGGAGAAGACTGTCTTTTGCTGGTGTGCACAATCAATGCATGCCTGAACCGCCTGCTGCAAGACTGCTGAGGGCCTCTCAGGCCCAAAGTGCTCCGGGAGCTGCTGTACCTTCTTCCTCTCCAGGTATGGCCCCAAGTTGGCTTGTTTGTTGACATAAATGCAAACTGCAGAGACAAACACCCAGCACCAAGTGCTTATTATGGAACACTGGGGATCGGCTAATGTCGAGGGTCTCTCCAAGTGTTTCACTCCCTCTTCCTTTCTCTTTTGGCTTGGGAAGTATCATTGACAATCCTAGAATGAAGAATTTTCTTGAAGGAGCAAAAGTGTCAAGCCCTCCAAAGCACTAGGGCAAACATTCAACATTATCTCCTGAGTAGAATGATAGAGGGATAAGTGTAACTAATATTGTTGTCAACCCTTCCATGAAGCTGTCCAACCACACAAATACATGAAGGATCTGATGATCTGTGATCTCCTTAATATGATAGTGGGGAGTTACCAGTATGGACATTCTCTCTATCAATTAGTGGATCAACAATTGTTCTGTGACTAATAAGTCCTCAGATATTGCTTGAGGCCTAAAAAGGTTAATTGGTTTGCCCATGGTCACACAACCAGTAAGTGTCAAAGGCAAGATTTGAGCTCAGGTCTTCCTGGCTTCAAAACAGTATTCTCACCATTGCACCATTCTGCCTAATTTGCCAATATCTATCTATCTATCTGTCTATCTGTCTATCTATCTATCTATCTATCTATCTAATTAGAAGGTAGGCATTATGAAAGACTTGGAGAAAACAAATGACTATGATTCTCTTTTCTCCTTCCACCCCTCCTTATTCAGCACCTAGGACAGAGCCTTTGCACTCAGTCTATGTTCAATGAATGTTTGTAGGATGAATCACTTCAGTGTTTGGAGGAACAGAAATTAGAACCTCTTCCAATTCAGAGATTCTAGGAATCAGCATTGAAACTATCTGATTCTGTGCCAAGGAAGAATATAAAATCATATCATCCTGCCCCTCTCTATAACATGGCATGGTTGGGATAATAGACGCATATTTTATATATTTTTCTGTACCCTTCACCTTGGTGAGCCTGAGATAAGAGCCTTACTAGCTTTTCCTTTACTGAAGCTCTGCCACTGGCAACAGCTCTCTCAAACTGGATGTATTCCTTATTTTTAAAAATTAAAGTGTTATTGATGTCTTTTGCTTTTATATCAGTCATTTCCAGATATAGCATTCCCCACCTTCCCCTCCAATGAACCTTCCTTTGTGACAAAGAAAAAGTCAAGCAAAACTAACCAACACAGCAATTTTGTCTGACAGAGTATTCAACATTCTGTACCCATAGTTGCCCACATCTCCAAAGAAAAAGAGATATTACTTTAAAAATTAAAATGAACCTTCTCTACAGAACACGATGGGCATGTGTTGACTTCATTCTCCATTCCCTTAATTTATCATCCAGCAGAAATTTTTGGTGCTCTAATAAAGAAATGCACCTAGAGTCTGAGAGACAGAAGTTTCCTGTTACTAGGCAGAGCACTTCACCTTAGTCAAGGCAGAAGCCACCTGTACTGATTTTGAGTTAAATGGAGACCCTTGAGGCATCTTTGAGCTTGAAAGAGGGGACTGAAATTAGTACCAGATGAAAGATTCTGTTCTTGAAATTAGCATCCTAGCTTATAACAGCCCCAGAGTAGGGGGATGGGCAGTGGGTGGTATAAAGGTAGTAAGAGTTCCATGATTGGACTCCTGCCAACAATACTGTAAAAAAGAAAGCTTAGACAGAGAGCACGCCAGTCAATCTATTCGTTACAGAGAGTTTACTAGTAGAGGATACTGCTGAGATGAAAGTCAAGAATGGGAACTGGTTCTTTGAAAGGGACCTCACATAATTCTTTGAACATAGTATAAGGACAACAAGTGCAAGAAGTAGGAAGGGAGAAGGAAAAGAGAGAGAAGAGAGAGAATGACAGGGAGAGGTGGTCCTGTATCCATCCTAGAGTGTAAGCATCTAGAGAGAAGAATTATAATCCTCCTAGGATGGCATAACTAGGGGAGGGCAGATGAAGTTTGCTCCAGGGTGTGGATTTTATAGGGTACTGAAGAAACTGCAGAATTTTGCAACATATTAGAAAAAAGAATTAACTAAAATGGTAAGCTACCATACAGTCTATTTCTTCATGGTCCCCACACAAAGGGAGCACGATTTCTTAGCTTGCAGGCATGATTTTGTGCAACTTGCCCTAGATACAGTATATGCTACCCCAGGTACAAGAACTACTATTTAAAGTTTCTAGAATTAAAGATTTTGAGCTGAAATAGACCTCAGAAGCCATCAGGTCCAAGCTTCTAATTTTACAGATAAGGTAGCTGAGACCCAGAGAGGTTAAGTGATTTGTGAGGAGTCACACAGCTAGTAAATATCTGAAGTGGGATTTGAACTCATGTCTTTTGAACTAAAAGTCCATTATTCTATCTATTACACCACCCCATTTCTGTTCCTTATGGTCTACACTATATTGCTATTCTATTTTTTTTAAAGTAGTAAAAATTGTTGTTCAGTCATTTTCAGTCACAACTGACTCTTTGTGACTCCATTTGTGGTTTTCTTGGCAAAGATACTTAAGTGCTTTACTATTTCCTTCTCTAGCTCATTTTATAGGTGAGGAAACTGAGGCAAACAGGGTTAAGTGACTTGACCAGGGTCACACAGCTAGTAAGTGTCTGAGGCCAGATTTGAATTCAGGAAGATGAGTCTTCCTGACTTCAGGCCTGGCACTCTATTCATTGTACTACATAACTGCCCTGTGTTTAAAAAAAATTGTTGTTTACTTGCATCTGACTCTTTCTGACTCCATTTCAAGTTTTCTTAGCAAAGATACTGGAATGGTTTGCCATTTCCTTCTCTGGAGCATTAAGGGAAACAGATGTTAAGTGACTTGCCCAGGGTGATATAGCTAGTGAGTGGCTGAGGCTGTATTTGAGCTCAGGTCTTCCTGACTCCAAGCCCAGTGCTCTATGTATTGAGCCACTTACCTATCTCAGGTGAAAGCTTATCTGTCTGCAACCACTGGAAAGAGCCAGTGGTTGACTCAACAACAGAACATAGCTTTAGATGTCTTCTTAAGAAAAATGGTGGTGAGATAGATACATTGCCAACTTAGAGTCAGGAAGACCTGAGTTCAAATCTAGCTTCAAACACTTACTAGCTATGTGACCCTGAGCAATTAACCATCTCAGTTTTAAACTGTCTCAGTTTACTCATCCATAAAATCCATAATCCATAAAACTCCCAGGGTTGTTTTGAGGATCAAAAAAGATAATAGTTGTATAGTGCTTTAAGGTTTGTAAACCTTAAAGAGCTATAAAACACCAGTTATTATTATTATTCACTACTGGACATGTGCAACAAGTACTGTCAGACTCCCATGGTACAAGACAAGAAAATGAAAGCCATCTCTGTATCTAGAAGGTTTCTGGCAAGTTTGAGCATATGCCTCAAAGAACCTAGGAGCACCCACCAGTTTTCAGTGGCTTATGAAGAATATAGTTAATATGTATGATGAATTAATGAAGACTGAAATGAGCAAAACTGGAACAATCTATACCATAACAACATTCCAAAAATGATCAACTTTGAAAGACTCAAGAACTCTGATCAACACAACGATCAAACAAGGATTCCAAGAGACCGATAATAAAGAATGTTCCCTACTTCCTAAAGATGCAAAATAAGACATGCACTTTTAGACATGGACAATATTAGAATTTGTTCTGCTAGACCATTCATATTTGGTTCAAGGATTTTATTTTTTTTTCCTCTTGGGAGGTGGGAAGGAGAGAAAATACATGCTTTTTAGTTTAAAAAGTTATTAAAAAAAAGAATGGGATTGATCACATAAATTACCTGAAATTTCTTTATCTTTGAAAAGACATTGGCAAAAAAAATCAGAAAAAGACCTGAAATTGTCCAATAATAACAACTTCTTTCTAACTTAGAGTTTACAGTATCACAGATCTCAAGTTGGAAGGAATCTCAGAGACAATCTAGTCTAACCCCTACATTTCAAGATGGTAGTAAACATCAGAGGCAGGATTTGAACCCAGGTCCTATGTCTCCAAAAGCTAAACTCTTTCCACTTTCATGCTGCATCCTTGTCTCAGGTGTGTGGGCACTTTGGGATTAAATATCTTTTTTTTTTTTTTTAGGCAATTGGGCTTAAGTGACTTGCCCAGGGTCACACAGCTAGTAAGTGTCAAGTGTTTGGACCAAGGCCAGATTTGAACTCAGGTCCTCCTGACTTCAGGGCCGGTACTCTATCCATTGCACCACCTAGCTGCCCTGGGATTAAATATCTTGCCTGTGATCATGCATCTAGTATGAATCCTAGACACAGGAACTGACTCCAGATCCACTTGATTCCAAAGTTGACTCAATGATCATTATGTACTATTACCTTTCTCTAATGCCATAGAATAAATCTGTCTCACATATTTTTTTATAAACTTCCATCTCTAAAGGGCTGCCTGTAAGCAAAAAATGTGAAGTTGATAAGATGTCATAATGACTGCAGCCTTCCGTTTCCATGCTCTTTTTTCTTTTGCCATTTTTCTCTCCTTTTATCCAATCTTCACAGGAATTATTGTTTCCAACAAATATTCCTCTTTTAAAGAGAATAATCTGAGAAGCTCACACTAGGCTGCTGATGAAAGGACTCCCTATCCCATAAAAACTGCTGGGGAAACTGAGAAACAGCTTGGCAGAAAATTGGTTTAGTACAGCATCTAACTTCATGTGCCATTAAATTAACTTCCGAGTATATAAGTGACCTAAATACAAAATATTCCTCAATTAGCTATATTTCTTTGATGCTTTATTTAATTTTATAAATTGTGAGTAATATACTTTTAATTTTAATTTTGTTTTCTGGAAGACATTTTCTCAGACCAGTGAATTGGTAGAGAAGGTTCCCTTGCTTGACCACCTCAGTGACCTGATTTATATGCATTAGACTTCTTTTGTGGGATCACATCAAAACTGTGCATCAAAATATCATTCTTTTGATAATCTTAAAGTTTAGACTACTGATGCAATTGTTTCAGTCACTGAGCAGTAGCTGAAGAAAGTTTTTACAAAGTTCAAAAATCAATTAGCACAACATATGGCACAAAATGGTGGTTATGGCGAATTTGAACAAGAAGTATTAATACCTAAAAATTGAATTACCTTTTGAAGGTGGTTTTTTGCATGTAATTTTTTGTATGTAGTATTTAGACTTCTGCCGTTCTTAAAGTTTAAAATGCACTAAGACTTTTGGGACATTCTGTATAGATGATCACAACCTTATTCTTTCTGTCTGTCTTTCTTTTTTTCCTAAACAGAACATACCTTTCACAACTATGACAAGCAGAATAATTGTTAATCAAAGGAAGTATGGAGTTTATCTTACAAGAGAAGATAAACAATTTTGACTAACAAAAGTTAAAAAGCTTTGGCACAAATAAAACCAATACAGCTTTGTATAAAATATTATTCATAAAACACTGGTCTCCAAGATATATAAGGAATTAACACAAATATGTAAGGTCAAGAGCCAATAGATAAGTAGTCAAAAGATATGAACAAGTTTTTGCAAACTCTGAACAACCATATGAAAGAGTGATCCAAATCACTAGTAAAGAAATGCAAATTAAATCAACTCTGATAGTTCACCTCACATTCACCAAATTGTAAATGACAAATGTTGAAGATAAACACACTAATACACTGTTAGTGAAGCTGTGATTTGGACAACAATTTGTAATTGAGGAAAATGGCCAGATTGTTCATCCACTTTGACCCAAAATTCCTGCTATTGAGCAGATACCCCAACAACAAAATATTCATAGCATCACTTTCTGTAATAGCAAAGAATTGGAAATAAAATAGATGTCTATTAATTAAAGAGTGGCTTAAACAAACATAAATATGATGGAATATTATTGAACTGTAAGAAATGATGAATATGAGTAATTTAAAGAAACATGGGAAGAAACAAGTGAAGTAATAAGAAACAAGGGAAAAATATACCCAGTAGCTACAATAATGTAAATGAAAATAACACTGAAATTAAGCCTAATCTGGTAATTATAATGGCCAATTATATGACTATATGTAGTTATAACTGACGAATCTTATCACTAGAGAAGAAATGAGGAAGCATCTTCCTTCTCTCAAGGTAAAAGGTGGGAGACTACAGGTACAGAATGTTACATACACAGTCAGAAGTGTTCACTGTGTGAGTGGGATTTGCTTCACTATCTTTGTTTCACAGGAAGTATAATTCTGGGGTTTGGGTGAGGAGGAGGAGAAAGTAGCGTATCTGGAAAGGACTGTGATATTAACACAAAAGGCAGCAATAATTTTTGTTTACAAAAGGAAAGAAACACTAAGGTCTTAGGAATGTGTATTTATGCATTACTAGGCTTGTTTTCAGGTTTTAAAAGATTAATACAAATTAATTAATTCCTGATAATAGAATTTTCAGCATTAATGGGGGAGATATTTGAGAGTAGGGTCTTCTTAGATAATATCACATTATAGGTTCATCAGACAATAATAGATCAAGAACCAGAAGGGACCTCAGAGGCCATTTGGTCTAAATCCCTCATTTAACAGATAAGGAAACTCAGGTTAAGTGACTTGGCTAAGGTCATACTGGTAGAAAGAATCAAAGGCAAGATTTGAACCTAGTCCTATGATTCCGAAAGGAGAGTTTTTTCCACTATACCACATAGTTTCCCAAGCCCTATTACCATTCATTTTTTTCAATCTTGCCTCTCCCTATCATCTAACACATAGCATACATTTAATAGACGCAAGCATTCATGCACGAATGAATGAGTGACTGAATTGGGTCACTTTATATTTATGTTTGATCCTTTTAGAGACTTGATTTCATGTGAAATCTATCCTGTTTAGAGTACATCCAATTTCAGGACTGGTGGAAGGGAGATGGGTTTGTAAAAAGAGACAATACTAGGAAAGTAAAATATGAATGTACATAAGATGACATTGATGTTTTAATGATGACCCTTCTTAGTATTGGTTCAAAACAAGTCTGACGGCAAAGAAGCAAAACAGGGGTTCTTTCCCCATGCTCTTGCCTACCTCCCTCCCCATTAATGCGTTCAGCCGGGCCATCTTGTTCATTGACAATCCAAAACAGAATGTTCCAAACCTCAACAAGACATCGGAGCTCGACATTTCTGGTCATTATAGATTTCACTTGACTGACAGAGATAACTAACTTATCAGTCACATAGGTCTCCAATGATGCTCGTGGAGCAAACAGTCCTTAGTTAATTAACTAACTCCCTGCCCGCCAACGCACCCATTTGTGTTAAGTTCAGCGGACGTACCTGTGAGCGCCTGCGCTGCTGCTGCAGAGCTGGGTATGGTGGCTGCATCCTGGGGGATGGAGCTGACATCTGGCTCCGGTGTGCTCCTCGGAGGAGAGATTGCTAAAGGAGTCATTAGAACACGAGACTTCAGCTGCAAGATATAACCAATTTGGTGAATGAAAACCTAGAGGGCATCATTTCCTCGTCTCCCTGAATACTTCCCTGTCTTTACATAGCAAATTCTAGTGTATCCCCCTTCTTTCCTTTCCTCTCCCCTCCACAGTGTGTGAAGGACGACAGAGGGTCACTGACGGATGCGTCCTGAGGGCAGGTGTAGACCTGTGTGTGAAGCGGAATTTTGTATCACAGTGATAGGATAACCCAATGGGATCTGTAGGGCCCAAGACCACAGGAAGGATCCAGACTTTGATAGGCACGGTCACCTTTTGTGTACATCACACGGGATCATAGAAGCTGAGTCAGAAAGCGGCCAGCTAGTCCAGCCTTGACCTGAAGTAGATCCCTCTCTACAAACGAGAATAATTCGCATGAATATGGCATTTTAAGGTTTGCAAAGTGCTTTACATACATTATCTCATTTGATCCTCACAACAACCCCATGAGGCAGATGTTGTTATTTTCCCCGTTTTTATAGATGAGGAAACTGACATTAAGAGAGGTCAAGTGATATGCCTGGGGTCACACAGCTAGTAAGCATCTGAGGCAGGATTTGAACTCATATCTTTTCCATTCCAAGTTCAGCCCTCTACTCACTATGTCACCTCCAATTTTTTGTTAAAGGCTTCCAAGGTGGGGGCACCCACTTAGTTTCCACTGTACTTTTGGACAGCTTTTATTATTAGGAATTTTGTCCTTACATTAAGTCTAAATTTATGCGATTTTTAACCCACCACTGCTGCTAGCGCTGCCATTTAGGACAAGTAGAACTCATCTAATTCCTCCTGCATTCATATTTCCCCTAAGTCTTTTATTCTCCAGACTATACATCCTCAGTCCCTTTAACCAGCCTTCATGTGGAAAAGCTTAAGGCTCTTCACCAACTTGGTAATCTCACTGTGTATGCCCTCTGTCCTTCCTAAAATGTGGTACACAGAATTGAACACATTTTTCCAGGTGAGGTCTGAGCAGGGCAAAATAGTTATTTCTGAAAGTCATGCTTCTCTTCAAAGCAGACTAAGATTATATTAGCTTTCTTGGGTGCCATAGCACACTATTGACTCATATTAATTAAACTTATAGTTTGCTCAGACTCTCAGATCTTTCTCAGATGAAGTGATGTCTAGTCATGCCTGTCCCATCTTGTACACATAAAGCTGATTTTTCAGACCTAAGTTTTATGACACTATAAAGGGTATCCCAAAAGTAGCTTAAGACTGCACTGACTTTCAGGACATTGTATATATAGGCAGCTAGATGGCACAGTGGATAGATCGTTGGGCCCAGAGTTAGGAATCTCTGAATTCAAATCCATCCTCAGGTATTTACTAGCTGTGTAAGTCACTTATGCGCTGAGCAAGTCACTTAACCTGTTTGCTTCAGTTTCTTCAACTGTAAAATGGGGAAAACAATAGCACCCACCCTCGCAGGTTGATTGTGAGGATCAAATGAGAATATTTTTAAAGTGCTTAGCACAGTGCCTGGCACATAATAGGTACGTGTTCCCTTCCTTTTCATGCATCCCTACTAAATGTTATCATATTAAGATAAGATCAATATTCTAGCCTGTCAAGATCTTTTGAAATGTTAACTGTTATCCAGTTAGCCATCCTTCCCAGCTCTGTCATCTGCAAGTTTGACAAGCATTTCATCTATGTCCTTATCTAAGTCATTGATTTAAAAAAAATGTTAAATGACAGAGAACCAGACACAGATCCATGGGGTATTCCACTCAAGAACTTCCAAGTTGGTATATACTTCCATAGTTCTAGTCATTCAAACAGTTCCAAGTCTGCTAACCGAACTATCAACTAGCCCACAGATCACTATCTTCTCCACAGTAACATGAGAGACTTGATGAAATTCTTTGCTAAAATCTCAGTAAACTGAAACCATAGCATTCCCCAAATCTGTCAGTCTAAACACCCCATAAAAAAGGAAATGGGGTTAATCTAGCATGACCTATTCTTGACCTTGGTCCTTTGGGATCACAGTTTTCTTTTTCTGGATGGTCATGAACCACCTCCTTAATAGCGCATTTTAGAATTTTTCCATGAATCAAAGTGAAAATCACTGACATTGTTTGTAAGTACCATCCTATTTTATCTCATGAAGATTGGGAGAATATTTGCGTTTCTTCAATCCTGCAGTATCTTTCTCCCTCTCCGTGGAACTTCAGAGGTCACTGACAATGGCTTGGTAACCTTAACTGCCAGTTCTTTCAGTGCCTGAGGTTATAGTACTTCTGGGTCAGGTAATTTGAATTCAACAATTTTATTATCTCCTTATTTTTCTGGAGGATAAATGAAGGAAGGTACACAATTCCAGGTGCCTGTCTAAGGCTTCCCATTACATTGATTTTGTTCTAAGTAATAGAAAGCAATGCACTGGGAGTTAAAATATCTAAGTTCTCATCCTGGTTCTAGCACTTACTAACTCAGAAATTTTCTAAGTGACAAGTCACCTTACATTTCTGAGCCTTGGTTTCCTCATTTGTAAAATGAGAAGTTTGATTAGATGATCTTCAAGGTCCCATCAGGCTTGAGCAATCTATAGTGTCATCTAAACCATGCAGTCACCAAGACCAATCATGGCCCTGGCTTCATATTAATTAGTCTATAAGTCCTCAATTATAGAGGACTACTGTGGACCTTCAGTGCCATGCTTTCCACATCTTTGGTGACTATCTCTCTTTCCTGACAAAGGAGGCATGGTACAATCAAAAGAACACTGACTTTAGAGGCAGATGGTCTGGGTTCAAATCCCACTTCTGACTCCTGTGTCACGTTAGGCAATTTACTTAACTTCCCTATGCCTCAGTTTACTCACCTGTAAAATGAGAGGATTGAACTAGGGGGTCTCTGAGGTCCCATCTCACTCTTGAGCTATGATCCAACTGTGAAAATACAGATAGGAACCATTTCCCAGAGGGAGAGACTTACTGTCCTGTGGCTAGTTCTGGCAATCGAGGCTACTAGGATTAGCCATTTGTCATGACATATGTATGTTCTGTGATAAGAAGAGGCCAGCCTCCATGTCTTGCTTGGAATCTTAAACACAGAACCTAAAATTTACTCTTACAGTGCTAGGGGACTGTTATTAGGATGATTTATCCGCAAGCTCTGTGCACCAAAGTTACAAGGATTGAAAATCTTTTCTGTTAGAGATTACTCTCTGTTAGTAATCTAACAGAATGTAAACTCTTTGAGGTCAGGGACATTTTCATTCTTGTCTTTGTAACTCCAAACCTAGCACATAAGTAGGTGCTTAATAAAAGCTCATTGGACTTATATATTTGTAGAATCTGAAAGAGTCGATGCTCATCTTTTACCCTCCACATAATATAGTTGCCTTGAGGTCAAACCAGTCTTTACTGTGTCTCTTATCTCAGATGTTGGAAAAGAAACAAGATTAATGATTAAGAGTTAGCATTACTTTGTGGTACATGATGTAATGGGACTTTTTTCAACACAATAATGACTGTGCTGTAAGAAATGATGAATACAGGGTAGTATGAGAAGATTTATATAAATTGTTGCAGAGCAAAGTAACTAAGAAAAAAATATACACAAGGACTCCAACAACATAAATGGAACAAAGATCCATAAAACAAAAGAAACTGAATGTTGTAAAATTATAGTGACCAGTCCCATAAAGGCCTCTCCCCAACTTCTTTGCCAAAATCTCCATACAATGTCAGATTTTTAGTATGTTGATTAGCTTTGCTGAACTGTTTTTTTTTCCTTCTTTCTTCTTCTTTGTTATAAGGGGTGACTCTCAAGGCATCATGTAGGTGATGTAAAAACAAAAGATAGCCATAAAATTTATTTTACAAAAGAATTACAATTACTACTACTAGCTATCCATTCATGTGGTTGTGCTAATGAGAGTGCTTTTGAAGGATTCAAAGCATTAAGAGTAAGAATTTGCTATTAATAGGCTTTCCATCATACTAAGAGTTGGGCATTCAAACAAAATTAAAGGCCATAAAAATAAAGTGCTTTTAAATAATTCCCAAAATAATGAAAATGAGATTGCAGTCATGAACAAATGAATGAACCCAAAGTGCTTTGTGAACTGGTCATAGAGACTTGGGCATTGTCTGCTTTTTCATTTGTTAAATGTCTCAGTCTGCCGCAGTGCCACCCAGGCTCAGTGAGAGTGAACCAACTTTCCACTTGGATGGCCTTTCAGTGAGTAAAATTACTCCCTGTATGTATCAGGCTGCTCAGCTGGTGGAGGCCATGTAATGAATGAGGAGGGATAGGCAATGAGGGCCTTCTCACTGAAAATGTTACCTTTGATTCTCCCCTTGGAGCAGGGATGTGATTTGGAAACCCCAGGACCGAAAGTTGAAGCCTCTCCAACTTGTAAAATGATGAGCTCCAACTTCTGCCCCAATCTGTTCAAGCTGTTCTCCTGGCAGGTGATTTTTCTTTGTTTTTAATGGACAAACTCAAATAGGCTGCAGCCGAACAAACGGCCTGGAATGAAGAGGAAGAAGGGGAGGAGGGGAGTCTTTCTTGGCAGTCATACCCACTTGAAGAAGATTCACTGCCCAGGATGCCTTGCCCTGACATACAGTAGCTAATCAATTTGCAATCTAGGGAACACACTCAAAGCCAACAATCCTGTACAGGCACTGGTGAAGTTGGCACCTCGATCTGAAATGCAAAACCTTAATCAAACGCATCCAACGCGATATGTGTAAAGGGCGTTGCTGCCAATGGCTGCCAGAAGAGCCTGTGCTTTGCCTTGTTAATAGTATCATGGTGAGAATGGAACAGAAGGAGAAAGTGTCCATCTCTGCCAGCTGGAAATACAACCAAAGAGGGCGGAACCCTCTGGCCAGCTCATCTTTTCTTTGCATTAAGAGACCCAACATTTAACTTTTGGACAATTTGGACTGTGTGTTCCATGTCAACCTACTCTTCAGTGTTATACTTCTTTGATGACTTTTAGCTCAATTTGACC